ATGAACCTCAGTCTCTTATCGAGAGTTGAATGAACTCAGCCAGTGGGTGTTTTCCAAGGCTGGTCCTTCAAATGCTTCCCCTCTGGTTAAAATAAATTCTTGTTTCAGGAGGGACTTCGGCCAACTGGCTTTGCTCCTTTACTTCTGCCTGGCAGGCATTTGGATGGCAAGTAAATGGCTTTATTAAAAGTCCATTTTTCCCCTCCTTCAATCCAGAGCCAAATTCCCTCAAGGTGATCTGTTTGGATGGGACCTGATGACCAGAGCATTTAATGAAAAGGATTAGGGGGTGACATGATAGCAGTGTTCCAATATCTAAGGGGCTGTCACAAAGAAGAGAGGGGTTAACCAATTCCCCAAAGCACCTGAGGGCAGAACAAGCAGCAATGGATGGAAACTAATCAAGGAAAGAAGTGAACTAGAACTAAGGAGAAAATTCCTGATTAATCAGTGGAACAAATTGTCTCCAGAAGTTGTGGGTGCTCCAACACTGGAGGTTTTTAAGAAGAGGTTGGAGAATCATTTCTCTGAAGTGGTATATAGGGTTTCCTGCTTGAGAAGGGGGTTGGACTAGAAGACCTCCAAGGTCCCAATTTTACTATTCTGTAGTCAGAGGTGAACCAAGAGACAGTGAAGCCACAACCCCAAACAAAGGATTTCCAGTTTACTTCCTGAAACTTTCTCTTCTCAAATATGCTTATTCTTGGTCGCTCATGGAGGGCTTGTGATATTATCTTGCAAAATGTAGAAAAAAATTGAGTTGCTGTGATCTTGAAATCTTAGTGACCAACTAAGGTGCAAAGTCAAAATTTCCTTAGAATAAATTCAATTAAAAAGAAAACAAAAATTGCTTTTCCAGAAATGAACTTTTCCAACGCCTCCTGTTGAAGGTCAATACACAGCCTATTCCGTGGGAAAATTTTTGCAAGGAAATTATTTGGTATTGCTTGCCTCCTACTGGTCATGGGGAAAGATTAACTGAGGTTAACAGGAGTTATTAGGCTGGACTCAAATAGTGCTAGAGCATACTGAGAGTGCAGTTGTTACTTTCAAGCATAAAGTATTCTATATAGCCTTCATAGCAGTAATTTGGTCACCATACTATAAAAAAAGAGGTTGCGACTCTAGAAAGAGTGCAGAGAAGAGCAACCAGGTTGATGAGGGGACTAAAACATATGAAGAACCGTAACAGGAACTGGGCTTGGCTAGTCTAGTGAAGAGAAGGACTAGGGGAGACAAGAGAACAGCCTTCCAATATTTGAGGGGCTGCCCCAGAGAGGAGGAAGGGGTCAAGCTATTTTCCAAAGCACCTGAAGGCCAGACAAGGAATAATGGATAGAAACTGAACAAAGAAAGGTTCAACCTGGAAATAAGGAGAAATTTTCTGACAGGGAGAACAATCAACCCATGAAACAGCTTGCCCTCGGAACTTGTGAGACCGTCATCACTTGAGACCTTCAAGAAGAGATTGGACTGCCATTTGTCAGAAATGGTGTAGGGTCCCCTGCTTGGGCAGGGGGTTGGACTAGATGACCTACAAGGCCCCTTCCAACTCTGATTATCTGTTACTCTCTGTTTCCCTTCCCCTATTCCATTTTATAATGAAGAACAAGGGTTGATTTAACGACAATTGAACCCAATTTTTTTTGTTGCTAAGTGAGACAGTTAAGTCAGTTAAGTAAGCCCGATTTTACGACCTTTCTTGCCACAATTGTTAAGGGAAGAACTGCAATTAAGGTAGAAAAAAATGATTGCGACTTCCCTATTGGCTTTGCTTGTCAGGTCACAAAATGTGATCATATGACCCCAAGACACCATCACTGTCATAAATATGAGTTACTTGCAAAGTCTCTAAATTTAAATCACATGATCAAGGGGGTGCTGCGAAGTTTGTAAGTGTGACACATGGTCCCTTCTTTTTCAGTGCCGTTGCAACTTTGAACGGTTATTAAAGCAACTGTTGTTAACTCGAGGACTATCATTACATGCATAATTTATGGTTGCCTACATAGAAAAGATCTAATATCTTCGATGAACTGATCCATAGTGAAGTATGAATTTCAAGTCAAGTCACAATCACAAAAAAAATGTGTATTTTTCTGTTTGGTATGAATTCATAAAGCTGGCCTAAACAAAATCTCAAGTTTCTCCCAGCATCCAAGTAGAGCTGCATTTTAGGGACAGCAGTTCTAATCTCCCCAGATATTTCATTTGTACAATGCTGTACAGAAATTTTAAGCGGGTAGGATATTTACTTCATCATAAAGACACTAGAGCTCATTATTTCACAAGCATAGCCAGGATGTGAAATATTTTAATCAGTTAATGGTATTTCCTTCGGCTAACCTTACTGAAAAAGCATGAAGTACAAATGCAATTGTCTCATGCACTAAAACATTTGGATACATTTAAAAAAAAACCAGATATTATACTACTGCCTCAATATGTACAACATCTGGGTATACACGAACAAATTAATTGGCACTTAGAAAAATTAATGTGGTGCAGTTGCATTCCAAATGCTACTACAAAGCATTCCAATGTTCACTTCCTCCCTTTTTTTAAAAAAAGAGGGGGTGTTATTATTACAGCAGTTGTGTATTAATTCCACAAGGTGGCATCTGGAGCATATATGTATATATATATAAATATATACATTTAACCTAATGTAGCTGCAAACAAAACTGGATACAAGGTTGTCTTTCAAACATCAAGATAATAAAGGAATCAAAAAGTAGGTTTGTTTCAAATGCACCTATGCTTAGAAACCCACAGTTGAAATTGGTGTTGAGAATGTGTAATGAGGGCACTAAATTTTTTCAGGCAATGAAAAGGCATGCAGTGTTATGTGTCTATGGCAGCTTTGATAGCCAGAAGCCTATAACAGGCCTAAGATCGTAGAGAAATGTTTTGGCTGTCGGATTTTGGGCTATCTAGACCAGGAATATCAAACTCTCGGCCCACGGGCCGGATGCGTCATGCATTGGCCATGCCCATGCCCGGTTTAGCAAAGGGGGGAAATCACGATATATCACATGACAATGCCGTGACGACACGAGTTTGGCACCCCTGATCTAGACCATCCACCGGTCCATCTTACACAAGAGCACTAGAAGCAAAGTTTGCCCATCTTCTGTTCTCCACCGTATGGGACGATGACGCTCATTTATGAAAGGCCCCGAAGCTGCAAACAGCAACTATAAATGCAATAGTGCACAAGGCCGTTCTGTTCTAAGGAAGAGCTTTTCAACATCTAGAACAAAAAATCCATTTTCTTACATTCTCTGTAAAAATTCCTCATTTTGAAGGACGCCTTCTGGGAACATATCAAGGGTTTATTTATTCCAGTCATTTTCTTTGCACATTGGAGTCTTTCAAAATGCCAGACCCAATGCTCATGTACACCACGGGAAAACCTATGACAGAATTCAGCATAAATAAGTTTTTAGGCTGTAATTCTTAGGTCTGCATGCTTAAATCTAAAGCTTCTTCAATTCTATAACCCCTCTTTTCTCTTACACCATATATAAAAGTTCTTCTCTTCTACCCCCAAAAGCAGTTAGTAAAGTACAAAATTTTTAATGTGGTCATCATTTCCCCTCAAAACCATGGATGCCTTTCCAGCACTCTAAATAAATTACACAGCCACAAAAATGATGAGTTTAATAAATATTAGTACAGAAATAATATAGGGTATCATTTATTTTCTCGTCTGAAGAAATTAAGGCTTCACACACACACAATCTGAAAAAATTTCCTAAACTCTCAGTTGAGACGCTCTATGAGACAACTGCACTCAAACCACAAAATCTTTTATTTTTGTTTTCCTAAAAATTGTGCAAGCCAATGCAGAACGTTAAGTTTGTTACAATGGCAGAAGAAATAAATCCTGGACCTTGAAAGAGGCAATTCAGGTCAAGATGAAAATCCAATTCAGCTCTCATGTTGATTCAGACGCTATTCTGTGTGACAATCTCAGCTCCAGGGGAAAGCAAAAGACGACACTTTTAATGTCTTGCTTACAACACCAAAGTCTGTGCAGACACATAGAAAACACGGTCTCAAAACGAAATGATTTCACTTCTGTTGAGCTCCTTCTGCAGGGCAATGGCTTAAAGTTCGCTTTTCACAGTACTGCTGGAGACCTTTTAGAGTGTGGTTATCAAAATGCCAAAATCACGATGAATGAAACAGAGAAAACAGAAAGAGCAAGGAAAGGGACGGACAGCGATTGCCATGTATGTTTTATTGCACTGCACATTCGAAAGGGAGAATCTGTCAGCAGCAATGACTTTCCCTCCAACTGCAATATTAGGAAACAAGCTGGAAAGGTTCATTATATATCAAAACCACCAAACTAAATCTCATACACCACCTCTGATGTGATTATTTCAAAACGGAGACAGTTCCCAAGATTCAGCTGGCCACCCAGCTTTCTAAACCCTGTTGTTTTATTCAGATCTCACCTCCACACAAACATCTGTTCTAGGATTAGAGCCACATCCTCAGGTGACCCGAGAACGACTCTGGATGATGTATGGATGTGTTCTCGTCCTTATTCTCCCTGCAACCTGATAAAAAGATGGAGCTTGTTTTCTGATCGGTATCTCTTTCCACAAATTCTTTCAATTACTGCTCATTTCCTGCCCACATTCCTCCATCCTACTGCTCCATCAAGATCGCCATTTTCATCTCAGTCCAAGCCAACTGGAGCCCTACGTGTTCTCAAACCACAATTTCCCAACTATGTTCTGAGGCTTGGAGTTCCCACAAATATTCAAAGGAAAAGCAGGATCAGTAGGAACAAGAAGGACATCCAATCACGAGTTACACAAATGAGAATTAATGCCATGAGTCAGTAGCCCTGCTGGGCAATTAGAAACCACTGAAAAAAGCTTTAGATGCCTAATTACTCTCTCCATCAGTTTCCCTACAACAAGCTGATCTTAAGAGACATTCAGCATCCACCATCCATCCTGAAGTTTTTTTTAATATATATATATATATATATATAAAGATCTACTTCATAACATACAATCCGTTTCTACGTCATTCATGGTTTTCTTTTTTTCTCACCTCAGCTGCTGTCTTCAAAATGTACCTAAGGCAACAATAGCAGGGTTTCCTCCATACTGCAGAAAAGCTATTACATCTACAGTTCATAAAAATGCTCAATACAACATTGATACTTCAAACAAGCTAGTAATGTCTTGAACAGCAAGTCAAATGATTTAACTACATGCTGGCTCAATATAACCCTTTGAGATGATAAATGAGGGAGTACAGTTTCTAAAGCACAAAACTGAAAAAAGTACAGTGTTCGCCTTCCATGTAACAGACAACAGATTTCATTTCCGTGGCATTCCCTGAGACAAAAAAAAAAAAAAGTGCACAATAACAACTAGCAACTGAGGTCTTAAACATGCTACTATTACATATGGTTGTTTATGGGGTACATTTACCCCAAATGTATATGCCGACTGAAATGGGACAACTCGATGCAGCAAACTCGCCATGGCCAACTCACCATGGAATAATTCAACAATTAAAATAATTTGAAACATATTGTAATTGTTGTCATCCATATTTTCATTTTGTCCCTCCTTTGGCCTCCTTTCTTTAATGATTCTATTCCACTATTTCTTCGATATTAGTGTAACTCATCCTATGGCGAGTTGTTCCGCAGCAAGTTGGCCGTGGCAGGTTGTCATAGACCTGAAGACGCTGTCAAATCCACCCAATCAACATACAGTACCTAAGAGTCCCATTGGGAGAATCAGCTATAACCATAAAAGGCAGCCTATGCTGCTCGCGAAACAGCAAAGAATATTTTGATGGGATTAAACTTGACTCATATTCCCTTGGTCAGAACTGTGGAACAAACGTATTAGAAGACTGGATTGCTTGCATAATCCAAATTTGCCCTCTAGATGCGAAAGCATGCGAACACATAAACTATTACCTAACAGAACACAGAAAGATAATGGAGTGGTTTTTTTTTTGAATGATCTCTACGACAGCTCTTGAACCGATATCAATTGATCTCACCCCTGAATTGCAAGCTGACAGAGGGTCTTTCCCCCGTCACTGGAGGAAAGGAGAATAGCCTCAGACCTTCCAAATAATTGGATACTTTCTGGGGGGGGAAAATTGACCAAGCAGCATGCAGAAGACATGCTGAAAAGTTTCCAAAACTCATTTAGGAAAAAAAAAAAAAACAGGTTTTCGGGATTCTTTCATTATGGAAATCAAGCTTGAAGACAGCAATGGAATGCCTTTCAGGATTAACTTTGAAGATGGGCGTATCCACTGAAAGACATCATACTGGTTCATCCCACACATTCCCAGAAATGACTTTACAAATGGCATCAAACGCGTGGAACAGGACTTAGGAAGTTGTGCAAGGGAGGACAATCTTGACAAGGGAGGCCACTTCTGGAGCTCATTCCGAGTACCGCTGCAAGGTTGCAGGATCATTACTCTTCCTTTTCCTGGAAGGGACCCATTTGCTACAAAGAAAACAATGTGCATTCTTGGTCCAGGGTGACAAGGAACTGATCTCAGATATATCTGCATTGATACACTCAACTCAGTGCGCTAGAGATGTTTTGGGATTCGTGATTGAGCTTATTCCAGGTCAAAAGAAGAAGCAAAAACCCTTGATGTCAAAGTCATAAGGCTTGTCTTACAGACACAATGGAGACAACGCTGGGAAACATACAACACCCAAAATATAGTCCTCGTTCTTTAGGCTGTGCAGGATCAGAAGAATCAGCAGAAGGCTCCAGAGGGGATGTAATCTTCGGTCTATGTAAACAGTTTTTTTTCTGAAACACAACCTAAACATTACAATCGCTTCATTTAGACTTTTTTTATTTTAAAAAAAAAAAACCACACGCACACACATACACACACGCGCACATGTCCAAGAGCAAAAACACTTGAGTGTTTTAGCAACACAACACTGCACTGTAGAATGGTTCCATTTTCCCCCTTTCTGTTAAAATAGCTGCTCCTTCTTTCTAGTTCTTTGATTTCCATACCCTTCGAAGCATCCATTGCCAGCAACAGATGCGCAAGCTGAGAAGCCGACAGCTCCGTTGAGCTTTCTTGGGCCACGGTCCACTATCCTTTCTCACGAGAATCCTCCATGTCTACTTGTACAAACTCATCGTAGGGCTCTGGTACATGCACATGTAAGCATCGCAAAGGAGCCTTCGCGCACAGCCTTGGATTCTCCTTGAGTCCAGAGAGTGCAATTCATCGAGGGACATTTTCAGATACTCGCCAACTTCTGGGCAGGGAGTCACTTGAGGGATGTTAAAACCATTTTGACCTCCTTGGGAGAGAAAAGGAGACATGGGATTACTCCAGCAGGACAATAAGACAGTCCAAACTATATGGTTTTGAGATGAAGACATGTCTTATGGAGATTCTCAGTTCATCCAGGTCATGGCTGTCCCAAAGGTGCTTTTTTCTTTGAAGACATTTCGCTTCTCATCCAAGAATTTTTCAGCTTCTTGGATGAGAAGCAAAACATCTTCAAAGAAAAACCAGAAAGTCCGGTTGCTTCTTGAAAAAAAGCCACCTTTGGGAGATGATGTAATCCCAGCTGAGAAGCATTCTACTTCATGCCAACTGAAATCTCCAACCTGTGTCCAAAATTATCCATTTCAGAATCAATCACATGAGTTCCACAAAAAGAAAGAGTGCAGAGAAGAGCAACGAAGATTATTAGGGGGCTGGAGGCTAAAATGTGAAGAACGGTTGCAGGAACCAGGTTTGTCTATTTTAATTGGGGGGGGGGGGGATGGATTGGGGGTGATATGTTAGCAGTGTTCCAATATTTGAGGGGCTGCCACAAAGGAGGTCAACCTGTTCTCCAAAGCACCTGGAAGGCAGAACAAGAAGAAATGGATTGGAACTAATCATGGGGAGAAGCAACCTAGAACTAAGGAGAAACTTCCTGACAGTGAGAACAATTAACCAGTGGAACTACTTGCCTCCAGAAATTGTGGGTGCTCCAATACTGCAGGTTTTTAAGAAGAGACTGGACAACCATTTGTCTGAGATGGTTTAGGGTTTCCTGCTTGAGGAGGGGGTTGGACTAGAAGACCTCCAAAGTTCTTTCCAATTCTGTTATTCTATTATATTGTCTCTTTCAACTTTCCTTATCCTGCCACCATCCAAATTCATTTTGGATGTGCTGGTAATTTTTGGAATTATCAAACATAAGCAGAGATTTAATTTTTTTTAATCTCCCTGGCCTTAGCCTACAGTGGGAGTCAGCAGCCCACGGCTCTGGAGCCACATGAGGCTCTTTGGGCCCTCTGCTGTGGCTCCCTGTTGGGTGATCCCACCACTGGCTGGCCCCTCCCCTTGCCCTCAACTCCCAGTCAATCCTCGCTTGGCCTGAGAAGGTAAAACACAAAAGACAGAAATGGGAGGGAAGGAAGGAGAGACCCATTTGGCACAGAAAACACCGAGAGCCACAAAACCTGGGTAGGCGTGGTGGTGGTGGGGTCATGTGACTGGGTGGGAATGATGTTGAGTTGGCCACACCCATCGAAGTCTTGGGGCTCCCGGTGTTTTGTTTTTCTGTGAGAAATGAGTCCAAATGGCTCTTCGAGTGTTTAAGGTTGCAGACCCCTGGCCTACAGCAACAACCTAGCTTTTCTCAACAAGGTGCCCTACAATCTGGGGAACGTTGACAAAAGTGTATGCCATGGTTGAAAGACTGAGGAATGTTACTTGAACCATGACACGAGGAGTCTCGTGACAGATGTTAAATACTAAAAAGTTTGTTAATTTAAGGCCAAGGCTAACAGTCGAGAGTTCACAAAAGAGAAAACATACCATCCCGATCAGCCATGCTATCAAAAAAGAGCCAAGACGAATCTTCCTTGCCATATTTAACAAAAGCCACATAGTGGCTTGTCTCTATACAAAGAACGGCAAAGAGCTCCATCTTCTGACAAGGTATGCAGCTGTGCCTCCAATCCCAGTCCGGTAAATCTTTCGGAAGCGACACTGGGTTGAATTTATGACTCTGCCTTTTGGGGTGAAGATGAACCTATTGTGGGATGGAGGGAAGAAACGTTTAGCAAAAGGAATTACATTCTTGCCTCTTTCTGAAAGAACCCAGTACTCACACAAGACAGCAATATCAAAAACGAATTCTTAGGTCATTTCGGAAAGAAAGAAAGAAAACAACAACAACTTACCTGCGTATTGCAAGTTTTGCAAAACTGCTTGATTTTACCAGAGGAAATGTCTGAATCTTCGTAACATTCCCGACATTCGTACACTGCAAGTCCTCCGCAGATACGACACTGTCTCGGAGCTGCATTTTACAAGAGGAAAAACACCCATTGTGCTGGATGCTACCATTCTGAATAAACAGAATCCACACCTACAATTTCTTTTTAAAATAGAAAATCAAACGTTTGAGTAAAAGAAAATTAGCCCACTCTATTCATGCACAGATACTACTAATTTAAAGAATGCGCCCTGTCATATTTGGAAGTTTTGTGTTCTTCTAGATTTTTCTATTGAGAATTGAACAGGTGTGGCAGATAGGAAGGAACAGGTGAAAACAAGAGGGGAAATGGGAGGAAAAAACCCTCACAATTTCTCCAGGAATTGTTGGAAAAATTAATTCTTGTTCGTTCTGCATTGATACAGTGGGAGTGCAACTTAAACACATTACATCAAAATCCTAACAGAATAAAATAGCCAGCAGACAGGCTAGTAAAAGATTATTTCCTAAAGGGCTAGGATATCTGTATTCTTTATTTCCTAATGGCAGTTAGAACTTATTTATTTTAGGAACCTGAGAAAAGGTATTATAAACAAAACTGGAGCAGTTTGGAAATCAACTATTGTTATGGCTCTGCTAAAGTCTGCAATGAAGATTTCAGATCCTGATTCTATTTGTGTATCTCCATTGAAAAAAGATTTTTATGGTGCACAGCAATTCCATTCTGCATTATTTTGAAGGTGATTCATTTTATTGTTGAAGGTATCCAGGTTCATCAAATGTCGTGGAGTTCATTTCAACTGAAATTCAGTCTTATTGCACTATCATAAGGCATAATTAAACTCACTGTCTTCCAGCAGGTCTGTGATATTCAATTCCAGAGAAGGGAAAATTTTGTTGAACATTTTGAAGTCCTTGCCAAATCGAGGCATCTGAATTATCAGACATGATGGGGCCTAGTAAAATGCAGCAGAAAAAGGATATATATTTTATCCAAGAAACTTCATTCTCTCTGTTTGTTTATTACATCCTGATGCCCCTAATGTAAAGTTTAAAAATAGCTTTCTCAAAAGCAAGGAACCATAAAAACCTTAAGGCAGAGCTCTTCAAACTTGACAGCTTTAAGACTTGTGGACTTCAACTCCCAGAATTCCTCCTCCAGTCATGTTAGCTCAGGAATTCCCGGAGTTGAAGTCCACAAGTCTTAAACTTGCCAAGTTTGAAGACCCTTGTCTTAAGGTTTGGTATACATATAATCAGTCATACAGATTAGTCCTATCTTTGACTTAAGGGTGTCCAACTTGGCCACTTTTAAGACTTGTGGTCTTCAACTTCCAGAATTCCACAGCCTCAGGATGTTGAAGTCCAGTGGTCTTAAAGTTGCCAAGGTTTGACACCCTGATCTAAAGCAAGAAGGAAACTAATGGGCCTCAAGGTGATGCTGAACTAGAACTCCCAGAATCCTTTTTCCACTGGCCATTCACACAAGGCAGCGGTGAATTTAAACTGAGGAACATCTGGATACGTTGAGTTCCCCACCTATGCTTTAATTAATAAATCATTTGCACAAATAGCTCAAGCAAAGCGTCAAGAAGTTCTTCTGATATCTACTGAAGAAGCAAATCCCCCATTCATCACAATGAAGAGTCACTTCCTAATCAATTAAGAATTTACTGAACTACTGTGGAGACACTTGCATGCTTCAGCTTCTCGCAATCTGATCAACACCAGCCAGCAAAATGTGCACCGATTGGTAAAATTATAAAAAGAGGAATCTTTCTGCAAACCTCTGCAAATTTCAAATTGCTGTTGATGAAAGACCATTCCAGTAACTGCTGTATGGTAGGCACTCCAACTTTCTCATTCTTGTCCATAAAAATCTGATAGAAATAGCAGTCTTGAACTTTTTGCCCTGCCGATCTAAGAAGAGAGATACAAGTGTATTTGACAATGGGGACACTTAATATTGATTTTAAAAAGTACAATCTACTACTATTGCAACCAGATTTGTCTTCAGGGTTACAGCAGAATCCTGTAGTAATAGATTCCTGCATCTGGAAAGAAACCAGATGACTTAGGATTTTAAGATCCTTTCCAAACCTTTAGTTATAAATATAAGAATACATTATTATTTGTTCATATATTTATAACAAATTACACACACTGCTGGAGAAAAATTCCAACATGAGTCTAAGAGGTCGGAAGACTAGACTTTTGGTCCCAGTGACCGACCCCAATTTGATCCTGAAATAAATTATTCCCTAAATTGATTAAGAGATTATTTCAAAAGTGATATGTACCAGTCTGTGAACTATTAAATTTATATTTATATATATAGACTGAGTCTATAGATAAGTGCTGCAAGTTGTAATTTAGCAATACTGAGCTGACCACAAGTTCTCCACACCTGATGCTATTATAGCAGATACAATGTTGAGACATAACTGTCATTTATTTATCAGTGAAGTTAAGTAAGCGAGACGAGGCAGCAATAAGAGCTTTTGAAATATGCCCAAGTTCTCAAGATAAAGGCATAGCTAAATGTTCAGTTTACAAAACTAAACACAAATAAAAGTAATGGAGATGCTTGAAGGGTGTTCCCAGCCATAACTTTTTGTTGGAAATTATCCTCAAGATTGTAAATTATAGATAATAACTCTTGTCACTTTAAAAAAATTTCTTCTGTGAGCCAAAGACTGTGTTTACCTTATTTTTAAGAGTGGTTCTACTCTTAAAATATGATGAAACAAAATATTCAAAAATTCTTCTGGATCTGGAAAAAAAAAAGAGTGTTTCATCAGGGTATCAAAGGACAGGCAACTAAAAAATAATAGCAAAAATACAAAGTTACAAAACCTGCCAGAAACCAAGCCTCAAAACTTGGTTTTAATAGCAATTAAAAATGTGAACTCTTAACCATGCGTAACTGGGAAACCAATATTTTCTAGATTTGGGGATGATCTGACACTTGTCTTTAATCATTTTAAGAATCCACAGATGTAGAATTTCATTAATTTGTTATTTTAAGCACAGTCTTTTAAAAAAAAGGACAGGCTACCAAATGAACATAAAGGAGTTTATTATGGTGGTGGTAAGATCTTATCTAGACTTCTGTTTAATAACATGAAACATCCTTTCAGTTCTTCCTCATTAACAATATTACAGAATGAACTTACCTTTTTCTTCAGATGTGAATCCTGATGCTGCTTCAACTTTTTCCAGGATCTTTCTCAGCTTCATTACTTTTGTGGCACACACATATCCATATCTAGAAAGTAAAAGATGAAAAGTCTGAAAAGGCATACCGAGCCCCCAAGAGGCAGAATCTAAAGAGGCAACATGGTCTACAATATTGTCTACAACCATTTGAACTGCTGCCCACAAACCAAAAGGAGGAAACAAGCAAAAAAGAGGTAAAAACCATCTAAAAATTGTAGAGGGGCCTGAAGTGGTCAACTCAAGCAGGGGTTTTCAAGCTTCTTGTTCCACCTTCCAGAAACCATTTCAAACATCTTCTTCCTGTTTGTAGAAGAAGCTTTTGACATTCCCCACCGAAGATGGCATGTTTTTACAGGAAGCTCATAGGTACTTACATTCGAAGAGGATTTACGATCTCTGTCCGTAGCAATTCTTGAGTTTCGCTGTAATATTCTACATCATTCTTCTCTTTGGGCCGAAGCAAAACTGTATCCAGGACAGAACTGAATGCAAACAGGCTGAAAGAGTAGGGGGAAAAAATAAGTTTCAAACTGGAAAGGAGAGAGGGGTAAAAACATCACCTTCCAGTCAGGAAGTGTCCTAAAATCTATCACAGAGAGAGATGCTTTTAACGGATTCTGTGAGATTCTGACAAATACCTGTTTCCAGAAACAGCATTTACATAATCTGAACCTTACCAGCAACTAATCTCACCATATAATACAAATTGAAACAATTCTGCCTTAGAAAAGAGAATGTGAGCCATATCAAATACCAAAGGCTCAATCAGCAGAGAAAGAAACACTTAAATGGAAAAAAATCCAGGACAAGAAGTAGTTATTAATTTTGATTCTGTGTCTTAAACATACTGCCTTTCCCAGACTGTAAACTAAGCTCTGAGCAACTTACAAGGTTAAAAGAAATCCCTAATATATACAGTATTCCTCACTTAATGACTACCCTGTTTAATGACGATTCAAAGTTACGAAGGCACTCAAAAACTTTGTAGTCCTCACATGCATGACTATCACAGTATCCCCACAGTCAAGAGATAACATCAGGTCACAAAAATATCATGTGCATGCTATTAGATTCATGTAACTTCGTTGAATTTTTAAAAATGCATATCATGTGTTTTCTTCATCTCAGGCTTGAAATGCAGTTTTTTTATTTATTTACCAGAATAAGGTGGAATCTAAGTAGCAGGAGTTATAATGACCCTGGATCCCCTTTTTCTTTCCGATCATTGTTTCTAATCCTTCTTTTTCCATTTTTGGAGGAGTGTTTTCTTCGACCACTTCACTGAGATAGCCTCCAAAAGCTGAAAAACAAGTCGGGAAATTAAAGCTACATCTGTTCTCTTTCATAATCCCACATTAGCAACAAGCACAATGGAAATATCAAAAGCCCATTACGTAGTCCAGCAAAGTCACAGAGGCCACCCACTTCTCCATTCTCGTGACCAACATTGTTTTGACGGAAACATGTACAGGCACTTATTTCTCACAAATGTGCACACACACACACATATATATATGCTTACAGGTAGAAGCGCGCGCGCGCACACACACAGAGACACCTTCCTTGATCATTAGAAATGTGGTTTCCCCCCCCCCCCCCCCACTCAGAATTAAAGCAAAGCTGTAGAGAGAGAGACAGAAAGGTGGACGATACCTAAGGAATTGCAACGTTCAATCTGATTGGACACCGGCTGCAATGAAGCAAATCTGGAGTCAGGACGGCAGCTTTTCAGCTTGACAAAAAGAGCTTTCTTTGGTGCGCAGGTAAAGTAACGGGTTCCTTTAAAAGTCCCATCGGTGCAACCTGCACATTCATCTTCCTGAATAAAAACAAATAAGAAATCTGCACTTCTCTGTCAGTGCTATACACCTATAGAAACTTGTAGCGATACGAGAAACCTCTCCGTAAAAACCTGGCTAAATGGCAGTCACAACGCTTATGCTTCCCAACCCAACCCTCGAACAGCACAGTCACACCATCCACACAAATTCTGACAAAACTACAAAGATTAAATGTGGCTCCTGAAGAGATCACGGTCTCCTTTGATGTAGTGTCTCTTTTTACATCTGTCCCTCCCCACTTAGCACAATGGGTCATAGAAACACTGGTTCTTGACTTACAACCAGTCATTCAGTGACTGTGCAGAATTACAACGCACCCAGATGGGACTTATGACTCGGTTTTGAAGTTCCAAAGTCCAGACACACACACACACAGTCAAATGACATTTTGGGCCCTTGGCAACTGGCCTGCATTTATGGCTGTTTGCCTGCGGTCACATGACCCACAATTTCAGACACTTTTGCCGGAAACCAGTGTTTGCTTCCGGTTTCCAGCAAAAATTGCCCCACAGGAAACGATGGGTTTACTTAACAATGGCTGCAAAAAAAGATCATTAAAATCGGGTCTGATGGAGACCTATGTTATGACCATCATGACTTACAACCGTAATTGCAGATTAAATTACGGTCGTAACTCAAAGACTACCCGTACATCAAAATTGTGAGCTGGCTTCAGCCTGGCGGTAAGTTTTCCTCTGGCCTGACGTCAGAATCAAGCTGTAGCCAGGAAATTTAAGAGAAAGGCGATAACGAAAAGATCCTTCAGGGTAAGAGGTGGGCAGGAATTGCCCGCCGGTTCTCAAATCTGACAGTAATTACCAGCTCAAGCCCGGCTAACACTTCGTTGACCCCTGGCGGCTGCCCGATCCAACGGATTACTCCGTAGAAGGGAGGGTTCTCTTTCACTTCTGCTAAAGAGCCAGCTTCAAGGCCATGCATGTTGATGGGGGCTATGGGGGCTGGTGGACTCTCCTGGATTGGCCCAGAGGTCCCTTCCCCAATAACCGATTGAACAGATAAGGAGAGCGGGCTGTGTGATATAGAACTGTTGGTGGTGCTTGACATCTTGTTGAGGCTGAAAGGCAGGGAATGGAATCTGTTTTCAGAAGATAAACTGTTCGACGGGGCAGGCTGCAGCGGTGGGGAAGAATTTCCAAACCCAGAAGAAGAGTCGTTGAGTGATTTTGCAGAATCTTCAGCCACTGTTAGAATTGGAGGCAAGCAAAGAAATCGGCACAGATTACAAATTACAACTTATATTAAGGCACTCAAACGGATGTGATGCGCTTTTCATAAAAATGAGCTAAAACGTGCTGGAATCTCTCTCTCTCTGACTAGATTCTATCATGGAAGAATAAATTGCTTAAAAACAGTTTACTGGCACTTGCTAAGCACAATGAGATAACAAGGTAGATTTTACTAATACTATAATCAAGGACTATAACCAAGAATATGAGCTTCTGCTATACCAATCAGCAAACTGAATAAAATTTTGTAAATAATTATTACAAAGTTTCTTAGTGATACATTACAGCAGGTGACAGATAGTTCACAGCAATTCCAAACTTGGGTGGAAGAAACTGGGATCCTGGACTCATTCCAAATTCATACAGAATATCATGTGAGTTTGGTATATGCTCCAAATAAATTGGGCATTGTCTCTCAAGTTTTCTCAGACTCCTACAGTCTATGGCAGCTGGCACAGCAGAAAAGCTGATGTAACAACAACAAAAACTTGAACACAGAAACCTTTGAAGCAACAATTCCATCTTGTTCAACACTTAAGGACTCTTGAATTTAATATTCAAGAGTAATTGTGTATTTTGTGTCAGCTATTTAATCATATGAGGCTTATTGGTCAACTTTAAGCTATTTTCTGAAAACTGCTATTTTAGATTGTGCAGGCGAAGGAATTCTGGGAGTTGAAATCTAGGTACCACATAGTTGCTGAGAAACAGTGCTCTAGATCTTAGTAATCTGGAAGCCATGATTTACTGGGAAGCAAAAATGAAATCTACACCTCTTGTGAATTCGTATCAGTATCAGTAGCAGTGAGGCCCTAATCAGTAGCAGAGTATCACAATCAGTAGCGGAGAGGCCCTAAAGGACACATTCACCAACTTGTCTCCTGAAGACACATAAATAAATCATGAGTCAAAGCACAGTGCATGAGGTCAGAAGCTGGTATAATAGCACATTACTATTTATAAGCCTCTTGCACACTCTGCCTAAAACCCAACTGGTTTAATAAAGAGTGTAAGATGTAATGTTGCTGTCATGTAATGTTGGGTTATTTTCTACCCCGACTAAGAAATTACCATAAAACCTGGGCCAAAGAAAAAGTCTTCAGTTATCTGACAAACTACAGCCATGAACTAAGGAATGGGAGTTAACCAAAAGAGATTTAGATTTTCCCCACCCTCTTAAAGCCATGCGACTGCTACTACAAGGAATTGCTAAAAAAAAAAAAAAAGTCAAGGGCAACTTTCAAAAGCTGTTTGTGATAAGTTGCTGGATCAAATGAGTGTGTAAAATAATTTATCTGGGGTTGTGGAATAAGTAGTGGATGATGGACTATGCTCATCTTGACTCAAAGCAGCAATACAAGGAAAGCTGCAGTTTGGGGAGAAAAAAGATGCATCAAAGTGCTTCCAAAAATATAACTCAATACAGTTGTCAGAATTCTCTGCATCATTACAGTTCATATTTTGTTACTACATCTGTGATCAAAATCCAGTTTGTTACCTTCATCAATATACCATGTATTTTTTGATTTTGGCTGTGCTTGAGAATCAACTGAGGAGCCATTTAAAGCGTAGAAAAATTCTGTTCTGTTTCTGTTTCCAGGATCAGACAGTGCACCTGAAAAACAGGCCATGTCAGAAGGGAAGAATATATACAAGTAAGCTTTGATGTTCTTTGGAAAGTCTGTAAAACTGCTTCAGAACTGTATGACTTTAATGGAAGAAACACAACTGCAGGTTATCTGGTCCAATCACTACAATACTGCATGATTTCATACTCCCAACCCTTTAAAGAACAGCTCTGTTCTCAGCTTACATCTCAAGTTATACACACAGTACCTTTTAGAAGGCAAAGCTACATCAGGTAACAATTCTGTTTCAGCTTAATGAAACTGTTTTCTTAATAATATCTGTAAGATTAATACCATATACGGAACACGGATTTCAGACTTAATATTTTAGAAGGAATGAACATCAGTGATTTAAAATTGCATGCCACCAAATCCCAAAAACTCTTGACTCATACATCATAATCAACACTTTAAATGACTGAGATATGGACTGTTTAACTGTAGTCATTGTAATATTAATATGCAAGGCAGAAACTGCCTATGTCCAGTCTTGTTCACAGACTGGAAAGATCAGCGGGTTAAGAATGGTGCAACCAAACTTTCTTCACAAGTGGCTTTACATAAGTGTGTTGCAGGACCTTGGGATAATCCTAGAAATATGCACCTATGCAAAAGTTCTCATGATTCCTGCTGAAATTTGGACATCCTTTTGCAATACATCTAACCCTTTGACGTAAACCCCTTTTCTTGCTATTTTACAGATGACATTTGCAAGTAAGGAGCAATTTCGCTCCTTGTGTTTCATCCGAAGGATCAAGCACAGAAAATGCAAGCAGTGAATCCAGAGGTTTCAAGGGAAAATGAATATATCCATTTCCATTCCTATCTATCTATCCTTTCTCTCTTACCTCTCTCTCTTACCTATCTGTCTGTCTATATCTATCTCACTTATCTTTCATCCAACCATCCTAGGAAGTCCTTTAAGTATCACTCCAAGGGCTCCAATCGTAATTGGTGTAATGACACATTTATTTTTCCATTTATATGGATACCAATTAAAAATGCTGATATGTTCAAACCTTTATAAGGAATACAGTAAAGTACACATTAAATATCTTCACTGATATTGATGGAGAGACTGTTTTAGTAGTCAAACTTGCCTTTAAATAGCAACATGAGGAGATTGCACGTGGCAATCCTCATTTAAGAAACAACACTAAGTTTCACTAAAATGCTGAGTGATGTACCTGTAGACTTTGGCTTGCTATGACCAAAAGCTTTGTCACCACCACCTCTGGAAGTATAAGCAAGTTTGGGAGGTCTCCTGTCCTGACACACAGCCTCTAAAACAGAGCAGAGTTTAGATATTTCACAAAGTATAAGAGCACACTATACAACAAATGTAATGTATTAGTTTCAAAACGTTAATCAGAAACAGGAGACGCATTATTAGACCTTCCTCAGGAGGCCTGAAAGTCCTGATGTATAAGATTTTACACAGAAAGATAAGCCAAACTGTAACATGATACCTCAATTATAATACCTGTCATAATGGAACTATAACATAAATTACCATTCTTTAGGAACGATTTGGAAGTTTGTTTTAAAAAAAACTTAATGATTAAATAAGGACTTACTCAGATGGCTATTGTTGGAACAGTCTGTCAGACTAATAAACCTTTATACTAATCCAGCTGAGCAATTCTAATGTTTTCTTACTCCTATCTGCATCTCATCTCTCTCAAATTCAACCAGTGAAACCTTAGGTTCCCTTTACACCTACAAAGCTTCTGTCTTTGTGCTGAGCAAGCCAAAGATAAGTCTCCTAATCCAGCTGTCCTTTCCCTAGAAAAATATGATCTGCGGTTCCAAAGATTGCTCACATGTTTTAATTTCCTTGGCAAAGCAGCCAAGTAAATAGTTTCATCACTAATGTCAAGTTTGAAAAACCATGAAAGGGCCGTCTAGTAACTTAGATTCTATGGTTTCTTTCTAAGCAAATCAGCTAATCTCAGTAGATCCTATTCAAGTCACTATATTCCTCCAGTGCAAAGCAGTTGACTCATGCATGCAGCATAGGGCTTACAGTATTATTAAAGCTTTGTGAATAGAAAAACTGGCACTCTAATAATACGGAGAAAAGAACAGATTGCCTGTGGTTCCGAGCTCTTCTCACAAACACCAGTTCTTTTATCAGAGCATATGTGGGCATCTTTTGAACATATTCCTTTTAAATAAAGTGTAACAATACCATAATCCAGTACACAAATGCTGTACAAAAATTAGAATCACCTGGTGAGACCTTATGCATCATTTCTTTCAGGTTTTTAAGTGTTCTTAACTAGCCTTTAAATCATTATGCATAATTATTCACGAATGTGAACTGCAGCCGCATCATTTCCATTCAACACTGTTCCAGTTCCCTAACCCACACAATAACCTACTAAACAAAGACAATTTCTCAAGTAGAAAATTCACTGCCAGATAATGGGACTTTCAGTCCTCAAGCTTTATCATCTGGAAATAGTCGAGAAGGCCAGCATTCCATTAAGACAAATACATTTGCCTTACAACAATTCCTTTAATGACTCTTCAAAGTTACAACGGCACTGGGAAAAATTGACGGTTTTTCACTAATCGTTGCAGCATCCCTATGGTTACAGGATCAAAATTCAGATGCTTGGCAACTGACTCATATTTATAATGGCTGCAGTGTCCCAGGGTCTCGTGATCCACCTTTTGTGCCATACTGACAAGCAAAGTCAATGGATTCACTTAACAACCATGATACTAACTTAGCATCTGCAGTGATCACTTAATAACTGTGGCAAGAAAAGTTGTAAGAAGGGGCAAAACTCACTTAACATCGGTCTCACTTTAGGAACATAAATCTTGGGTTCAATTGTTATCGTAAGTCACAGACTACCTGTAGTGCACTGTAGCAGCATCTCTTAATGAGTTTAGGGGGAAAAATACACGACATTTTAAAAATTCTGAAAACATTTCCAGAATTAAAAAATTACCAAGAAAAAACAGTGCCCAGTAATATAGTAGATACAGAAATATCTACTTTAAGAATGAACCGCAAAGGCCAAATATAAAGCTACAACCAGACATTAATCAACCTGCTAAAATCTAGAGACTCTTCTCAAAATCAAAATAAAATATTACCTGGGATAACATCATTGATATGCAAAAGAAGTGTGCTTTCAACACTTGCAAAACTACAGAGCTGCTGTCCATTGTATCTTCCATCCCAATTTCCAATTGGATTGTCCTAAAAAGCATTTTATAATATGTTTATTCCTTATAGCTCAAAAGAACAGCTGAATGCATTCAAGAAAACCAGGATGTTACTAAAACTTTGCAAAAGCTATGCAAAGCTAAGGTTGAAAGCACAAGCCATCATGAAAAAAGATATTCTTGTAATGCTGGCAACCCACCTCTCAGACATAAACACAAAAGATTCGTCTACTAATAATCATATGTCACAATTAAGAAAAAAAACTCCCAATTACTGAAGTACAAAGCCCAATTTGTAAGCAATTTTTGAAGTTACACAAATGCAGCCATTCTCAATGGTTACCGAGAAAATAGAAAGGCTGACGAGAAAGGTAACTGTTTTGATCTTTCATAGTTCTAAATGGAACCAAGTGAGGCTATGCAAGTATAACCCATTATATTCAATGTGCAAACAGCGTTTTGCTACATCAAATACTTAAGGATATTTTCTGAAGTAGAACATTTGATTTCAGTATTTTTACTTGAAAGCTATTGTACATTTTCCTATTATAGAAACAAACTTCAGGAAAAAAGTGAGGAACAGCAAGTATTATTGATGTGCTCTTGAGCATTACAAATTAAGAGGTGGAATTCAAATTCATACCAAAGAGTCTTTTTATATTCCTTCAAGAGGCTAAAACCGACACTTGTCACCATTTTTCTCAGAAAAGAACGGAGTTCAATAAAACATGCTTATCATTAGAATCAAGGACAAGATTTTCTTTTTTAACTTGGCAAGTCATTTTTGAACATAAAGTAAAGCCTGTAATCTTGTTCATTGTTTGTTGTCCAACAAAGTAATAATGTACTGTAAGATTCAAATGCCCTAGAGGAGATTCTCTGTTGCTATACTGTAATCCAAGAAGCATGATTTATCCCCCCCCAAAGCAAGTTAACATACATTTTATCTGATAACTAAAAAATATACTAGAGTGATTTACACATGGCAACAACTGCCATAAGTCGCTTTCAAGGATTCCACCCACCAGCAATATTGCATGTACTATTTTAAACACACATGCAAAAAATCATAAAAATCTTAATTTCTTACCATGTCCACTCCAACAACGTATCCTAAACTCTCGTTTCCTGGTATGACATCACAGAATATAACTGTCCCATACTCTATATTCTTCCCTATCTTCACAGAAACCCTGGAGTTGAGCTCCAAAGGAGGAAGTTCTACCTGCATTGAGTCAACTGGAGCTGCATAGTCATTCTCCAGTTCATTGTCATCATCGTCCATCAGTTCTAGTTTGTCTAGTGCAACAAACACTCCACAGTCCTCATCACATCTGAACAGCTGTTTGCCTTGGTACTGTCCATCAGTAAAGCCCTGACCACGACCTTCTTCCTGTATTTATAAAAGGAAAAGGAAAATGAATTGTGAAGTTCAGCCCAATGTTGAGCTGAGGAAGGCCCCAAGTTTTATAACCTTCATAGAAATTACAACTCACGGGAAGACCTTGGATTAGGGAGGCCTGTTCCATGCAATATGCTGAACCACTATAGCATCTGCTTATTTTTTAGCTTAACAAACTGCAGGAAAATCCAGCAAATGAGAAATTGAAATTTATGCAGAGATATTTATCATAAAAGCAACTCATGTCTGGCACGCAGACATTCTCTCAACGCAACCTCCTTCAGCTACGTTGCAAGGATAAAATGGCATGGAGAACCATCCCACACAATCCTTCCATCCTAAAAGGAAGACAGGGATACAAATGTAATAAACGAATTAAACCTAACACTTTACGGGTTTTTAGAATGCACGCTCAATGATACCAGAAAGTATGTTTCACCAATCTACATTAAAAAAAGAAAGACAATCCTTACCAGAAGCTCCACTCCGAAAAATATACCCGACAGGGATCTCTCTTGTATTAAGGGTCCTCTAAAGCGAACAATTCCAGGGTATTTCTCTTCTCCTGACCTCAGCTGCACTTTCACCGGGGAACCAACATCGATGTGGAGGCCCTTACGTAGCCTGCTTCTGCTTTTAAATATACTGTATCTTTCCTCACAATTGGTGATTGCCAACAGCAGCTCGGCTCTTTTTTCCTCTATATCAACGATCTCTTTCTCGTCGACGTACAGGACCACATGGGGCTGTTCCAAAATCTTGATTCCTATTTGTAGCTTCTTGCTTTTGGATGAAGGGTTGTTCCTGATGTGCCCACCGGAAGACCTGTCTTGAATAAACTGACCGATACTACCTTTGGGTATTTTTAATAGCTTTTGAGTCTGCTTGTCTATAATGCTACATTCCTGGAGAAGCAAATAAAATATACGCTCTTCCCAATATGGAGAGCTTGCTTTCTCTTGACTCCACAAACCCGAAGTCATTGTGCTTCAAGCTTTGTAAAAAGATGAAAAAGAAGAATCTTCCAAAGAAACCTAGATAGGCAGCATAACTGTGAATGAGAGGTTTTTTTTTAAAGTTACAGCTCCAATACTGACTTAATTTTCTTCATCCATGTCCTACTGAGCTAAATCCAGTATAGATGACCTGAAGCATAAAAATAAAGGAAAACATTATTAGAGGCTAAAGGATACCATAGTAAAAGGACAGGAAACAAGACACTTTTGAAAGCAAGCATCATATCTAATTTTTATAGACCTATGACAACATCCAGCTGGCAAGAATGAGAACATGTTTAGACAGCTATAAAGGTCATGCTGAAGAATTTCTCTGCACAATAAAATTGACTGACTAATAGAGTCATCATCACACCATTGCCACCACAAAACTGACCATTTAGCTTTCAACTTTGCAATCCTTATTAATATCTTGAACTGAGTGGACAGCTGTTCTCACAAATAAGAGCTTTTTTTTCCTTTTAGTAATCGAAACATTTTTTAACTTTCTTGAAAAGATAAAGGTAAAACAAGAGTTTTGTTAATCTCACAATCTGATTATAGAGAAAAATCACCAAAATACATATTTAGGTAGTACTTAGAATAACACATTTTTGGCAAATATGGTATCATGGATATTTATGGAAATATCTGAGTGGCAGCATGTCAGAATAATCTCTTGAAGATATGCTTCCAAATAAAAATCAAGCTAAATAAGATTAGACAAAGAAATTTGTAAAGCTATTAAGCAATTGGAAAGTCATCAGTGTACTTCATAGTTTATTTATCAATAGAAGTCAAGACGCAAAAGAAGAATCACATCTGCAATCATTTGGAGTTGAGACGCTTGATCATTACCTAAAATAAACTCTACAAGTCACTTTGATTTATCTTTCAGTTTAAGTAGAACTACCAATAATACATTATTATACACCAGCATTTCACAAAAGCAATGGTTCTTTTCTTAAGTATGCAAACAAATAAAAGCATCTCCTCAATCTTGGGAACAGGAATAAAAAGAAAGAAAAGGCATAATTGAGAATGGAAGACTTTTCAAGGAAAGGCTAGTGTTACTTTTTGAAAGCCTAGGAGGTACGTAGACTTAAAACATCAATAATGAATAGCTGCAACAAACAGCCCGCTTCCAAATTTCATTAAAAGAAATAACCTTAGGGTGTAATGTTTGAACCAAAGATCAATATAGGAATTGAAACAAGGGTTCAATTATGAGCCTGGGAGGCAAAAGAATGGTTTAAAAAAGTTGGTTTTTTTCCCTCCATGTCAAGCACAACTATCTAAATGATCCAATCACATAAGAGGAATGTAGAAGTCATTCTGAGAGCAAGGTTTGTTTTGTTTTGAGTGGTTATTTTACTTTCATAAAATTTTACAGGTTTTATACAACTGCAAGCCACCCAGAATCTGCACAAAGTTGACAGCATAGAAATGCTATGAACAAATAAGTGTCAACAAGTAACAACTGAGATATAGTGCACCTTTCAAGACTGGTCTATGGTGAAAAATAATCATTACTATACACAGAAAACAATGATTTATAAAAATACAATATAACAGATATAAAACTCTAGTTTCTTCCCAAAGAACTATTAACCAAAGTTTTGCCCTTAGTGTGGAAAACTACAGCTCACTGCTAACTTTGTGGTTCAGTTTGACTTATGCAAAGAGACTCCATGTGATCATAAGACTTGCATATACGTATTTAAGCTCACTAAATTAAGACATGAACCACTTCAGTCTGAAGTTTCAGCCTGAGCAAACCAGTGACCCTATCCTGGCTTATGTTGCAAAAACAGATTCTAGTCCACAAAGGCTTCTGCCACAACACAGCTGTCCTTTTGTGCAGGCTAACTCACAATGAAGCACGACTGAACTTAATAGGCTTTATTCCAGAATAGGCATGATCGTGATTCTCCTATAAATCTCTTTCTGTTAAGTGATATTGTGGTCTCAGTATTTGTTTTCTGATTGCAAAAGACAAACCCAAGAACTCTGATGATATAATACAAGTACTATAAGAAGTATTTTTATGATATAGACATGCACATACACAAAATCCACTGTTCTATAGAATAAACATTTTAAAAGGATGAAACTACAGAACCTTTGTCTATTTTTAAGTATAAGAAATCCATAGAAAAGTTAACAACTTTCAGAGTGAAAAAATCTTAAGATCCTGCCTAGAAGTAAACAAGACTCTTTTTTTGTTTCATCGCCTTTAAGAAAACAAATGAAAAATGATGTGTTTATCTGGCATAAATACATACATACACACAGAAACACACATGCACATATATATTATACATATATGATACACATATGAACAGATACAGGCACACAGGTACATATACACATATATTCTCATACACACATATACAAACTTTGGGCAGTTTTGTCAACCTGCCCAGGACAAAAGGCGGCTCCCTAAATGAGAAAGTGAAACCCGAAAGGGAAGACAAGGGGAGGAGGGAGAAAACTTTCTCTGAAATTGTACACAAAGCATATCCTAAACATTTTGTGGAGCTCCTTCTATGTCTCAAGCAGGTAAGTGTGTGTGTGTGTGTGTGCGTGTGTGTGAATATAATGAAGAAGCCACTTAAAGGAAAAGAGTCAATGAGGAGGGGGAGCAGCTGCCAGCACCATCGTAACAATGTGAAGAATAACTTTGCCAACTAATTGCAAAAAAGCGAAAATTCAACATGAAACAAACAGTTGCCTTTGTACCGAAAAGGATAAAACAATTAACTGTTTGATCAGAGGCTCAGCAAAATTTCACAAACTAACCTCAAGCAACCACATGACCAAGTTGCAGAATTATTCATTGGAAATTTTGCCAAAAGTTTTAATTTGAATGTAGCTAAGAAGACAACTTCCTGGGACCCTGAAGTTGAGAAGGTTTTGGAGAAAAAACAGGTTAAGCTTTTATGGGACTTTCAAGATCCGAATAATACTAATAACACATCTTTGTTCATCACATGCCTGATAGAACAGTTAATGACAAGAAAGCCTGGTTCGTTGACGTTGCTATTCTGGGTCATGCTAGGACTGAGGAAAAACAATTGGGGAAAAACTTATGGGAAAAGAAATTTGTTGTTATATCTATTATGATTGGAGCCCTTGGAATGATACTTAAAGGACTTCCTAGCATGGTTGGATGATAGATAAGTGAGATAGATATAGACAGATAAGTAAGATAGAGAGGTAAGATAGACAGAGAGGGGGGCAGGCAAAGATAGATAGATAGATAGATAGATAGATAGATAGATAGATAGATAGATAGATAGATAGATAGATAGAT